ATCGGAGCGGTATGGCGCAAAGGAAACTGCATGCAGCAATGGCTTTGAGAAAAAGAAAAGAGCTTGGCCATGAAAAGAAAGAAGTGTCATCTGTTCACCTTGACAGCAATGTGGCCTGCAATTAAAATGCTAAAAAAAGCTTTAAAAAGATAGAGAGAACCTTTTGAAGATGAGCATTTTATGAGGATCAGCGCAGCGATTCAACACTAAGGTCATTATACAATTGGAAATGGCTCAAGTCACCCTAATAGAAAGGCACGTTAGAAAATTCTTAATGATGTTCGGATAATTCTGAAACCAAAGGAGGGCGGCTTGCTTTTTTTTCTCTTTCCATGAATTATTATCTTGCCTTTCCCTCAGTGCTGATACTAATCAAAAGCAGACGTGAAACCCTTATTAAAGACTTATCTGAATGTATCTTGGCAATCAGTCTGCCTCAACTCCGAGAGGGATATTTATGCAAATTGGATGCTTTGTCACCAAGGTTTGTCATACATTATTTGTGAACTTCATAAAGAGCATGGTTGCGGATGAAAATGTCTACAGCTTCTGGTCGGCTGCATAAAAATGCAGCCTATTTGTGAAGCCTAAGGTATCACGGCCACAATATGCATTTCTTCTGGTCTGAGATATGCACACATATCAGCTTGTTCAATAAATGCTCCATTTGCATATATATGCAATTTAACGTATTACATCATCACACCAGCACATTCAATCCTCAGGAAAATCTACTTATCAGAACGGCATCCACAACCCGAGACATTAACCTGAGGAGGCTTGTCAAAATAAGTAGGCGATAAGAATAGGAGCTTTTCCTCTGCTTTCACAAGCCATAGCACATAATTAGGCCATTTTGGGATTAGGGAATTTGAATTTCAGCAAAAATCTGCTGCGCCACTGCTGTTCCAAGACTGTTTTACATTTCTGCTTCAATGTGCCAGTAGCCCTAGGCAGTGTGAGTTAAACATTTAGAAGGTACCGACTCCCAGGCTTAGTCGAAGTTGTGATATCATATAGAGAGAGGCTGACCCAAAGAAGAAAGCATGACTTGTAAATTGAATGGTAATATACTATGTCAGTTTTGAAGCTGTGTGTTGGCATGTCTTTCTGTAGCATTGCAACAAGCATTGCAGCAAAACATTTTTGTAGTCCAAACAATAGAGAACAGCACTAGCAAAGCCAAGGTCATGGGTTTGATTTCAGTGAATGCGTGGACTAATACAACATTTACCTTAAAAGCTCCGCAAGTCTTTTTGAATAAAAGCATCTGTCAAACAGAACTGGGCAAGCTACATAAAGAAATGTAGATTGCTAAGATACAAACTACTCTATAGAAACATTAGCTGAAAGGCTCAATGAAGCTTGCTACACTATTTTCATGTGTGATATAAAAAATATAGCAAAATGGAATTTGCTTACATATCAGTTATAAAGATATCATTGGTCATATCAATCACAGTGCTATGTTGAAGCAAATACTAAATCACTTCCTTAAAACATAACCTTTGCTGGTTGCACATTCTGATATGTAGAATCACTGTTGCCGCAATCAGATCCATCCATGATTTTTCTGAAGTTTGAACATGTGACTACATATTTGAGCTGACCAATGAAATCGCCTGTGGGGTGTGGTTTGCGCTGATTTGGTGAGCACCAGCCAGTGGGATTATTATTTGCACCTTGGCTCCGCCCACTTCCAAAACAACCACCTGTCAGATGCTGGTCTAAAGGCCGGTTCACCTTATCAAGGATACTAACTATACAGATAATTATGACGATAACTAGTACTAATGCATGATAACATTCTGTTTATTATAAGCATGCACTGAAGCTTTGTTGTCTGCCACTTTAAATGCTTAAGCTCTTTAGAGCAGGATGGATTTTGATTAGCTGTCAATGTTTTTATCATTCATGAGCTGAAAAAAAAAATCTGAAAGTGATTCCAATGTAATCATTATAGTTGAGGTGTATCCTTTGTTATAATTATAGTTATCATCCTTGGTGTGAATAAGCCTTAAATGCTTTCGTTTTACACTACCAGCTACAGTTATTTCCCTGGCAGCGTGTGAGATTAAGAGGATGAGTGGAAGAACTGGCTAAACAAATCATTTATAGTAGTGAGTAGTAGTTTACCACTCAGATTGGTTTAAACTCAAACTGATAACCTGTATGTTGATGATTCAGGCCAGTTTAACTGAATCACTAAAAGAACCGGTTCAGATTCACAAATCGGACATTGCACGTTCTAAACAGCTGCCAGAGAATACTGTATACACATCTTTATTGCTAAAATATAGTCAAGAAAATGTCATGTTTAAGTGTTTCACAACACTACCCCACTACTTAATCAATACAATCGCTTAATTCCTGAAAAGATACATGATATAATGGTACTACCGATCACGCCACTGCTGCCAAACGCATAAATGTACAAAGCATTTGGCAGCCCACCATGGATAAATTCAAATTGCTTTAGCAAATAGTCAACTGTGATAAACTAAAAATAGGACTGTGTATTTTATTCTTTATACAAAAGGCTTTGCTCACACAGAACAAATTTAGCCCATTTGAAAAGGTCTGAGGTTTTATGAGTGGAGGGACATCAATGAATCTATAAGCTCTGTCCGTGTCATCTTTTCCGAACACCCTTTCCTCTCTTTTCTCACCCCTCGCCACCCCTAAAGCAATCTCTCTGTTTGTCAATATCTGTAACCATCAGTTCTCTCAAGGACATGCGAATAGGAGGGTCAAATGCTGCCGCTCAACCTAATTATGCTGATGGCGGCAGGCAGCTAAAAGCCGGAAGGTTGTTAGCTTCCAGAAAAGTCCCTTTACTGTCCTCTGAACGGACACTCAGCATTGAGATTTCAATATGTTTGCTGTGCCAAATGGGCCCGCTGGGGCTGATACAGTTTGAGACAACATCAGAATCATCAAAGGAAATGTCTGTTGAATGCATAATCAAAAATGCTGAGCTGATTTCATTTTATTAACTTGAAATGCTGTGATATACAAAAAAATCAATATGCATGTAAATGGAAAATGAAAACATTTTGAAAGCTGCAGCTCACACACTCTGATGAAAAATGGCCCATTTAAAGAATCAGAGGCATATGATACAACGCCACTATAAATCAGTTTAATAGCATGTGACTGCTTGACCAAGCCTTTGATATATGACAACAGGGCCTTAGCCACAACCCAGAAAGACCTGAGTTCTGTGCGTCTACAATGGGGTCAGTTTTCTAGATCTGTACAACTGCACCATGACGCACTCATTTTTGCATGTTAACATTAGAACAATAGCCTGAAATGAGAAAATAAATAATTCAGTGAATTACAGTGAATCTAAAATTGAAATTAGGTCAAAATGTTACAAAAGACTGTAATGTCCCAGTCTACAGTCTATCATGACAGACATAATTTGGTAAAGTAGTATGACCATATTCACCAGAACATAATTTATAGAAAAATGAATAATGAAGATGAATCATTCATTTGAATAATTCAGTTTTCTTTCACTGAACTCAGTGTCTGCAATGGTGTGATGTTATGTGATCTGCCCGACTGAATTGGATCTTGTATCTGTAAAACTCTTCCATTTTACCCAGCCTTTTACACTTTATCAGCGTAATAAGCCGAACTGATTGGAACACCTGCCAACGTCACCCTGATTTGAAAAACAAGGTCAGATCAAACCATCAGAACTATTTCCTCCAAACAAACACAACTAAAAGAAAGTTTAGGAAAGCCATTTTTATGATATTTTGGAATCTAGGACATTATGCATTTTTAATGTGCAATCTATATTTGTTTATGACTGCACTTGGAGGAAATGAATAATGGATGTTGTACTTGCATCCCTCATTGGAAATAAACGGCACTAAAAACAATTAACACCTCAAGCAGAGATGAGAATAAAATAGCCTGAGGGATAGTCGTCACTCACCCCTGATTTTTATAAATACTTCTTCACTTTAGCTTATATGCTTAGTGTGATTTGACTGTGACCAACATCTTTCTTTTTCCTGGAAAGACATTAATCAATAAGATTTTATGGTTAGGGAGAGGCTTGAATAAATGAACAACTGAACAACACATCTTAACAAGTATGTCCCTTCCTATTTTCCTGTATAAAATTTGCCTACTCCATCTCCATTACATTTCAAAAGGGTTTTAAATTTAAGTTATAAATAAGGAATGATTTTTAAAACTCTATCTTTATCATTATTGTCCTCATTGTGAACAAGCCTTAAAAGCCTCAGTTTTATGCTAACAGCTACAGTTATATCCCAGGCAGTGTCTGCGATTAAGAGGAAGATTGGAAGACTTGCTCAACTGAATCATTTAAATTAGTGAGTTTTTTTACCACTCCAATTGGTTCAAACTCGATAACCTGTTTGTTAATGATTCAGACCAGTTCAACTGAATCCCTAAACAAACAGATTTCCTGTTTTAATGTCTACCAGGCTAAAATAACTTATACTATAATATACTAATATAATTCCCCAGTAAGTGGCCAGATTTGAAGATCCTACATTCTAGGATAAGCGACTTGGAAAATGGATGGATGGACTTTAAACATCCAGTTTATCTGCAGAACTGAGCTTTTTGGCCCCATTACATGGCACTTATGCAGTTAGCAATAACTATGTTTTACCCACAACCCACTTTATTAATTATAAAACTCTCTGCCTGTACTTTGAGAAAAAGCACCACCTGTTCCAATAGGATTTTTTTTTGTGGGCCAACACATTCTAAGACAAACTGTTCATCTCTGAACATTAGCCATGGCAGTTCTTCAATAAGCTTATAATTATAATGGATGGTGTTTGTCTGTTCTGAATCAATTGATTAGTGAATTGTGGCATATTGTATTAACGCAGGCGTATGGCAGATGATAAATCACTGAAACCAGATCATACTTCAAGTTTTGCAGCCATATTTCCTCTGCTTCAAACCAAGGCGATGCTTAACAGAAATTCCAGCTTTTTAATATCAGTGCTGCATGGTTAAATATGAATTATTACATCTAGCATTTTAATATTGCTGTTAGAATGTGATATCATTATCCTGCCATTAAGGTGATGAAATTAAAAATCTTTACTTTTGATGCGGTGCAAACACACCGTTTCATTTCTGATTTGATCAGGGCTACAATTGTGGATCATGTTGTCAATCACGGCCTCACAATGGCTGAGGCTGGTCGAAGGGTGCAGCCAAATGTTGGGAGAACCACTGTAAATTCAATTATTCAAACATTTCGTCGGGAGAACAGGTGTGTATAAATGGACAGTAATTCAGCACTAAACAATCTGCACTGCACTACTGTCATTGTGTCATACATGAAGCTTGCAGTGGGACAAGAACTTGTCACTGTACATTTTACATTTAGACGTACAGAAATTTTGCCACCTATAAATGAAGAATGAAGTGAAGGAGCAAATGGGTGAAAGAGAAAAGAAAACCTATACATTTCCCTCTAGCTTTAAACTGACAGAAGAGCGCTTCCCCTCTACCCCCATCTTTTAATCATCTAATTTCTGCCAGACTCTCAATTACATATGACAGTTGGCTTTCTGTTTGAACGAGGGCCACTTTATCTTTGTATGTCATGGTTTGTTAATCACATCTTTCTTCCATTCATGTCCAACCAGTTGAACAAAATCAAGAGGGAAGTCTACACAATCAAGAAAGCTATTTTAATATTTAAATTGATTGTTAAATCTTATTTTTCTGGCCGCTACTTTTGCCCTTTTTGAGTCCATCACACTGAACGGACATTCGAATACATTCTGAACTGTGAGTGCAGCAACAGCAAATACATTGTGCATTTATTTTATTTCTATTACCTTTCTACAATAGTTCAATAAACAAGGAGTTAATCAGAAGAAACGTACATTTTAGACATTAATATGACCAGTTATTTTGACTATTTTGATATGTCAACAAAAATGTCCAAACAAAGCCACAGCAGAATTTCTATAAGCATCCACATGTACAGTATATTCACTCTTGGATGAAAACAATTAAATCAAACGTCCTAAGTCCCAGACAATGTTTTGACGATTAAAATGTGCTTATGGAAGTTTATTTCTAACAGCACATCTCTAAAACTTCTGTTCATTTTTTGAGTCATTTAAATTAATCAAATTCATGATATCATTACAATAAATCTAAATTTTAGTCTATATTTCTTACTAACAACATGAACACAGTTGATTCACACAATGAATCAGTGTGTTTGAACGAATCGGCTCATTCATAAAACAGTTGCTTGTTTTGTTTCTGTATAAATCAGCATTTCTGAAAGAATCGATTGAGTGAATGATTCACTGACTCACTCATAATGTGTAATTATTGAATAAATCAGTGCACTTGAACAAACCGACTCGATGATTATTTGACTCATTAAGACGATCACTTGTCGCCACCTACTGCATTGTGTTTGAACAAATCAGTTGAGTGATTCAATAACTCACGTATAAAACATTCGCTTGTTTTGTTCCTGAATTAATCAGTATTTTTTAATGAATCAGTTGAGTAAGTGATTAAATGACTCACTCATAAAAACAGTTGCTTGTTTGTTCCTGAGTAAATCAGTTTCTGAAAGAATCTATTTGAGCGATTGATTCACTAACTAACTCAAAATGTTTAATTCTTAAATGAATCAGCATGTTTGATCGAATCGACTCAATGACTCACTCATTAAGACAGTCACTTTTCACCACCTGAACCACCTGAAAAGTCTGAAAAGCCCACCCCAAGTCTCTAGCTCAAGAACCATTATATATTTAAGACTTGAACACATTATTGAATATATATTATATAAAAATGCTCACAAAAGAGCACTACTCAACACAAAATTGAGCTAAGCAGAACATATTTCTTGGATAATGTAAAAGTGTCACAACAGACATTAATTGTACATGAGGAAGCATGCACAGATTTCTGGGAAGCTTTGTTGGAGCTGAGCTGGTCCATGTCAGCTGGATAGTGGTCTATAGACCTCTGTTTCTAATCTCCCCAAAGCTTTTTTAAATGTCCTTGCTCCTCAGTCACCAGCTCATGCTAATCTAATTCTACAAGCTCAATGTCTTCGCTGAAGTTTGTGATATGCTGACACAGCACGCTGGTAATGATTTATGAACATGCCTTAATTGGAACCTTTGCTTACTCTGAATGTGCCAGGAATTTTGCCGGCATAAGCACATTTTAATCATCAAAACATGTATAAGTTATCTGGGACATTTGATTTCATTATTAAAACGAAATATACCGTACATGAAAATGTATATTAAAATGACAAAAATTGAAATGCTATGGTTTTAGAAAAGGTTTTTACTTGACATGAAAACCATTCAGTTTTGCCAGTCTGTGTGCTGCATTTGTTAACTCTAGCATAAAATCAATATTTATGGCTGATCTGATATGTATATTGTATTTTGAAACACCTGACCTTTGGGCTTATGAAAGATGTAAGATGCAAGCGAGTTCTTTGTCTGAACAGGAGATTGAAGCATGACACATTTATGGTCTGTCCTAAACACATGATGGATTGATAGGTAATGTTTCTGTTCACTTTTTGAATGGCCTAAATTCATAACATTTATGCTATCGTTATAAAATCTTATTTTAGTCTATATTTCTTACCATTGCAATATATGTCTAACTTTTAACTGAACTTTTCTATCTAAACCCCACTTGTGTTTATCACCATGGCTGAAATGTTGGGCATCTTCTCCAGTTCTGATGCTGATTGATGGCATTCAAAGTTATTATGCAGTAAAATTGGTTTCCAAGATTACATCATCATTCTTAATTACACAGAGTCGTTCATGTGAGGTGGCAACAGTTAATTGAAAACTAATTCCCTTAAGTGGACAAGACTGATTGCTGCCGAAAGTGTAGGTCAGCAAAGTTCTAAAACCCTCACTGAGTACAGCTGCCTTTGCCTTCTCAACTCACTTTCTGAACCCGATTCCTGAAATATAGGAGTGAAACTGGTTTCTACAGAAGCTTTTGTTGTTGGCCATATGTAGATTCTCTGTGATGATGTTTTTGCAGCACAACAACCGTTACAGTTTTTCTCAGTCGCTTTGGTGCATTTCTCACATCACTATTTACATTTGCAAAAGCAAAATTTGTCAAGAAGACAAACTTTCACGTTAGCTTGACAAAGCTGAAAATGATGGGATGGTTGTTAGGGATGTCACTAAGAGTACAGTATGTTTACACAACTACCATGGACTAAAAACAGAAAAGTGATTCCTTTGCGTTTTTGACAAGTTTTGCATACAGACGACAATGTTGTCAAAACAGTCCTTGCTCACGACTAATGAAAATGTCTAGAAATGCTGCATTATGCATGCCAGGCCAATAGTTGGCGATATCACTTCACATACGTATAGCCTAAAACACAATTTTGTTTTCACAAATTTGTATGTTTTGTAGTTTACACAGAGACGAGAGTTTGCCCCAAAAACACATATCGCCTATTAAGTGATTGCAGATAGATAGGGTCAGGGAGATTTTTTCCTTGAAAGAAATTATTATTTTAATTTGACATTTAACTGAACAAAAGTCACTTTAAAGGAGACATGTAGGCTATAATTTTAGAAGATTTATTTTTCAAAATAAATGGTTTTCTTTTTAATTTTCTATTCATCAAAGAATCCTAAAAAAATGTTTTAGGCACAAATGATAGATAGATAGATAGATAGATAGATCGATCAATCGATAGATATATAGATAGATAGATAGATAGATAGATAGATAGATAGATAGATGTGAGCTAGTGGAGGGATGTGGGTTTGGGCTTAAAATGGACTGCAGCGATGGACAGAGGTGATCTATAGTCCTGCCTGTGTTTGAATTTATGAGCATTAAGTATAGAACTGTCATACTTGTAATTTCAAATTCCTTAAGATATATGCAGGGAACTATAATCCTGCTCTAAGTGATGGATTTTAATGGTCATTCCAGGATTAGAAAGAAGCAATTTATTTTCAAGGATATGAATAACAGAAATGTTCACCCATAGAGAGGCAGTGAGACATAATTGGTGTCTTGTTTTCACGGCTAAGCTTGTGAGCGACCAAAGCTGAGCTTGAGGACATTAAACACGGCGAGGAAGGGTAATAAATGAGACCGTGTTACAAATGTACAGGTACATTTTTATGCTTTATCGACAATTTGACTCGGAGGCTTCCCTTACACAGGGCAGAATTAATTGCATGGATTATATCAAGACCGGAGTTAATTGAGGACGTATGAATGTGCCTTATCTTTTTCTGATGCAGAGGAAACAAAACCCTCTATCTGCAAACAAGTCATGAATTGTTAGTTTGAGAAACAACTGCATGGATTTAGAGGGCAAAAGCGGAGATCTCCCTAGTACATAATAATAATAAAATAAGATAAATAGAAAAAAATGCACGAGTATCAAAGTGTGTAATTAGACAATTCCTAAAATAACAAAAAGAGAGTCCGTCATCATCTCGTCTTCAGCCTGTCCTCCGTTCTGCATCGGCAAGGCAGCTAATGTGGGAGTATTTGTACTGTTGTCCATTTAGATTTTCACAGTGAGCACTTGTTGATGAGATGTTTGCTCTGCCTCAAGTCAGTGTGGCAATTATGAGGTTGTCACACAGAAAAACTGAAGGCGGTTCAAGAAGAAACTTTACTTTCTTAGACGTGGAGCCGCAGCGAAAAAGCCTATAGCAGAAGATTGTTTTCCAGATCTTCTGTATCTAATATATGTCAACAAGTGGAACCGAGACTGCGATATGGTTATTGAATGCCTCACTGTGCACTTTTCTTCACATTGGATGCTTATTTATGATGACTGATCATGGAACATATGTCTCAGCTCTTAATGATCTGTAAAATGCATGCAGGCAGAATATTATGACATAACGTCTAGATGTGTGAAATATGGAATTGTAATCAGGATTGTGCAAGGAGAGGTTGTGCATCCCAGTGGTCATATTAACACGCTGAGTATAAATTACTTTAACAAGCTTCACAAATAACTACCATTTTAAAATGGGTCAAAGAACAAAGTGTTTGATGTAAAAATAACTGTTCAGGATGAGGAGCTCATTAAAACAGGTGTGCTGATAAATTACAGTTATGCCTTTTTCGATATCCAGCACATTAAGCGAGGTAATGCACAAGACACTTTTCCCACCTTGGGTTTATTCCCCAAATACCCTTAGAATATTAAAGGTAATATAAGAGGTTAGTTATTTTCTAGTAATGAGAACTTGACCACCAGGAATGCAGAATATTGCTAGAATTAAAGCAAAAATAACAGATGTGCAAACATTGGTACATTTTAACCATCATTAATCCTGTTAAAGGAATAGCTCACCCAAAAAATAACTCACCCTCAGGCCATCCAAGATGTAAATGAGTTTGTTTCTTGATTGGAACAGATTTGGAAATCACTTGCTCACCAATGGATCCTCTGCAGTGAATGGGTGCTGTCAGAATGAGAGTCCAAACTGTTGATAAATACATTACATTAATCCATAAGTAATCCACACCACTCCAGTTCATCAATTAACATCTTGTGAAGCAAAAAGCTGTGTAATAAACAAATCCATCGAGACGCTTTTAACAGTCCTCAATATACAAATATGTCAGTGGATTTTGATGTGAGACAACAACAGGGGATGGACTTTTCCACTCAAGGAAGTGTTATTAAGGATTGTGAATATTTTGGCCAGAAGTGACATCTTAATGATGGATTTGTTTCTGTTTCAAACTGTTTGGACTCTCATTCTGATGGCACCCATTTGCTGCAGAGGATCCACTGGTGAGTAAGTGATATAATGCTACATTTCTCCAAATTTGTTCCAATAAAGAAACCAACTCATCTATATCTCGGATGGCCTGAGTAAATTTTCAGCAAATATTTATTTTTGGATGAACTATTCCTTAAGATTTTGACAAATCCACTGTTGTGTGGTCTTTTCTCAAAAAGCCCTGAATTAGAACAGCACAGTTAATTCTGATTATTTATAGCAGAAAAAGACACATAATAAATCTTGCCCCCTAAAAAAATTAGCATTTTTTGCATTTTTGCATTCCTTTTGTAAAGTAATTACTAAAAAGACAGTTGTGGGTTATCGTTCATGCCACAGAAAAAATACACATCTTCCATCTTGAAGAATATCCTGGTTGTGTAATAAAAGTGAAAGGACACTAGCACTGCCAAGCTCTTAAAATCACAAGGTATGCACCATGAGAGTACCATAAAATAGTCCAAACATCTTGTGTGCAAAATTCCACATCTTATAAAGCCATACAATAGCTTTGTATGATACTTCTATAGTGCCTTTGTTGTCACTTGCGAGCTTGACAGCCTTAGTCTCCGTTTCCTTACATTATATCAAAAAGAGCTGCCAAGATAAAAAAAAAAAAAAAAAATCACAATGTCAGGACTTCCATACAATGATGGATGGAGTCTTTCAAAAATATGTGCTTTTTAGGTTACCTTTGAAGATCATGTATTAGAAGAGGCTATGAAATGATATGCTTATAGATCAAAGTTCTGTAATCAAAGAGGGGTTCAAAGATTACAGGTCAACAAAATTGTTATCAGTATCGTAATTTAAAACACTTAATTTCTCTTTTTTGTGTTAAATGTATGTTTCAAGACATATCACTAAATTCATTTATCTTAATTTACTAGTCAAGGCTAAAAACACAATATGTTTTCATTTAAAGCATAATTATTTTTTTGAAAAACAACACTGATGTACGACTCAGGGTTTAACACGGTGTGTATTTTTGCATTTGCGTACAGCTGGAAAAAAATGAAGCAAAAGAGGACTCTCATTACCGGAATGACCATGAGCTGTGTGAGCTTTGTGTTAAAGCCGATCAAATGCTTTGGTGAAGAAATCCAAAGGCAGTATATGGGTCATTAGCAAAGCAATTAGAGTGTAAAACAGTCCCTGAAAACAAATAAGGACTCTTGATCCAGTTCTTGCAGAGCTGCATTCCCAAACCAAGGTCTTTCATAATTGTGTTCAACTTCTCATGAAAGGAATGTCAAGTTATTGTTTGATCGGAAAGCAGCAATAACATGTTTTTTATGAACTAGAATTGAATGGCTTGCATTCATATATCAGACTGCACAAAAACAAAATATTGAAAACTTAGTTGTGGTTGACTGAAATGTCCCACAATTTTAAAAAAGTACTTCACCCAAAAATGAAAATTATGTCATGTTGTTCTAAAATCAGTGAACACAAAAGACTATTTTCTACACAATTACAATGAATGGGCACTGCCTGGAGGAAAAAATGATTGCTCAGTGGTTGCTCTTCCTAAGCTCAGGAGACTTCATATATATCTCATGTATCTCTCATTTTAGTATCAACAACATTTCAGATCTTTCTCCTACAATTCCTTAGTAGAAATAAAAGCAGATGCAAATGAGAAATATTTGAGACAAAATGAGTATAGAATATCTCTTTATTGTCTTGTTGCAATCTCTATCAAGACTCCATTAATATTTTATTGCTCAGTGGTTGCTCTTTCTAAGCTCAGGAGACTTAGCTGTGATTCTCATGTATTTCTCATTTTAGTCTCAAAAGTGTCTCAGATGTTTCTCCTAAACATAGCCAATAATAGTGGCCAATAAAACATCTCCGTGACAGTGAGGGGGTTTGTTCTAATTAAATCTGGATATTGATAATGCAACTGATCCTGTGCATTGAGATCTTGTTTGAAACATTGTAGGAGACAAATATGAGAGCACCAGAGTCTTTAGTTTAGGATAAAAATCTGAGAACAGTGTGTGATGTTGTTGAGATCTCTTCTAAAGCATTAAAGGAGACAAATGTGTGAGCATCAGAGTCTCTACCCAAAAGGAGAAAAATCTGAGCACAGTGTGAGATGATGATGAGATCTCTTCTAAAACTTTAAAAGAGACCATTGTGAGAGTGTTAGTGTTTTTGTCTCAGGAGACAAGTTTGAGAAGCAGGAGACTCGAGCAAATATCTCCATTCGATCTTAAAGTAACCTCATTTATGTCTAGGAGAAATATTTTGAGACGTTAAAGATATCTCACTTTTGATTTTTCTTTCCTCTGGGTGAGGCTTTTAAGCTTAAAAACAAAAGATGCGAAAGCACCATAACAGTGACCCATAATGGAGTGCTATATTCCAAGTCATCTGATACAACCAACCTCTGTGTGAGAAACGGATCAAAATTTGTGAAAAATGACCTGAAATTTGTAAATAACTCATATTGGGGGTGAACTGTCAGTTCTTTTGCTTCACTACTTTAAAGTGACAAAGTATGCAGTACACATCATTACCGCATACAGCTCTGATCCAGGGACAACTTCTGCACAGATTTTACAATAAGCCTCAAAGAGAGGTGGTCAGATACTCTCAAACCCCTCCAGCTGCCAGTCATCTAAAGATTACTCTCAAATAAAGCATTTCCAAATACCCTGAGCTGCAGTTGTGTCTTTGTTCAAGTACTTCGGTTCTTTGAAAGCGTTTTATACCCAGCCAAATGTACTGTTAATTGTTCATTAATCTTGTTCAGTCTGTTTCCATATTCCAGTCTGAATTATTTTCTGAAATGAAACATAATCTTGCGCAAGTCTGGCATAGAGCATTGAATCTAAGAGCATTATCTCCATAGGTGCATACAAACTGCAAGGAAATATTCAAATGTTTTCACAAGACAAAATATCGCGAATATAAATCACAAGTTCACTGAGATCCACATTCGGCTCAAAATAAAGCAAATGAGTGACATAATGAGACCATCAATTATATATCTGGCAGCAGTAAACACACTGACCTATATATATCGCATATTGAAAAGTCATAAGGCAGAGACGGAAATAACAGACCATGAACATCTAATTTCCCGGAGCCCCATGAGATTGAATTTGCAGTTCAAAATGTCAGTTTATAAAATCTATCACACCTCAGCAGCAAGTCTGCAATAAAACATTGCCAACAAGACCACGCAAGAGAAATATGGATATATATATGGCACCAAATGCAAAGTTATGCTAAGCATGGTCTGCTAAGGCTATGCCGAAATCATTAAGGAACAAACAGAAGGCCAGAGGTCAAATGGACCGAAATGTTGCCGTGCTGGCATCCAGTGAAGCAGCTGGCTGGAACAGAAGGTATCTGAGGTCAGAAACATTTTGTTCTTGCATTTCTGCTGAAACAAGACCACAAAAATGAGGGTAAGCATAATCTACACCGGAAGCCAGAAATGAAGAGTTTGAAAACAGGCTGGGACGTACAGTCCCAGAATGCAACAGGGTCAGTTGCATTATCCATATTCAGATTTAATTAGAACAACCCCCCTCGCTATAGTACAAAAATTTATTATTGGCCGTTGACTGATGTAATCGGCCTATTTGAATGCAGCTTCTGCTGAATTCTACACATTCTACACCCTCTCAAATGGACTGATGGGACGTTTTAGAGCCTGAAGGGATAGCTCATAAAATCCAATTAAGGCCATGCCTTAAGGAGGCGGGCCGGGGGAGTGGTGGTCACGCTCCAATCATTTTCAGCCGCTTAATGCGTGTTTTTCTAGAATAAATGTCTGCAGGTGGCGAGACAAGACTTCCCTTGTGTTTAGTGGAAATGGCGAGGTTGGTTCAAGCACGCCCATGGGCAAAAATGCAACAGTTCATTTAAGTCAAGTCAAGTCAAGTCACCTTTATTTATATAGCGCTTTTAACAATCCAGATTGTGTCAAATCAACTGAACAGCATTAATTAGGAAAATAGTGTGTCAATAATGCAAAATGACAATAGTAAACACAAATTTTTCAGTTAAAGACAGTTCATCATTGAATTCAGTGATGTCAACATCCAGCTCAGTTTAAATAGTATCTTTGCAATCAAGTCAACGGTATCGCTGGAAATGAAGTGTCCCCAACTAAGCAAGCCAGAGGCAACATGAATAAGCAAGCCAGAGGCGACATTTATAAGCCAAAAAAAAAATTGCTGCAGATCCTAAGAACATGGAGACTTCCACGTTCTTTGTTTGTTATATTCACAAATCTTCACCTGCTGAAATATGACTGAATTGATCAAATATGGCCAATGTAAAACTATACAAAGGTGAAAAACTATTTAGTTATATTCTTAAAGGGATACTCCACCCCAGAATGAAAATTTTGTCATTAATCACTTACCCCCATGTCGTTCCAAACGGGTCAACTGTAACGTTATGAAGGGACGAGAATACTTTTTGTACGCGAAGAAAACAAAAATAAAGACTTTATTCAATAATTCATCTCCACTGTGTCTCTCCGCATCACCGTAGCGCCATTTTGGAGAATATCCG